TGCTGATCAAAGACCTCTATCCACAAAGAGCAGAGCAAAATGTCACCCCAAGCAAAACCACAAAACGTGCTACAAACCCAGGAGGAGAGTTAGGAACTTGTTCTCATTAAATAAGCCTTGTTTGGACCAATTTATACCAGAAGACAGTTCATCTCCAAAACATAAGAGATGAAGGTAAACACTGAGGGTAAAACTGCAGATGAAGTCTGATCTGAGTTCAAGGCTGTTGCCAGAGTGGAGGAAGAGACTCTGTAATAGACTCAGCTGGAAGCCCAAGAAATTATGATTACAAGGCCTGAACTCCCAGTCCACCCTCTTCTGTGGCAAAGGGAAGCTGTCCAAGCTACATTTGCTTTTTGGGCTCCAATCCAATGCTTGCTGTGGGAAGATTCCCATCAACTTCAAAAGACTTTGGACATGACCCAAATAAATCATTTACTACCACTTCTGAGTCTATTTGTCTAGCTTTTTTTTTTTTTTAAGAAAAAAAAAAAGAGCACTGTTGCTACTCAGTCCTAACAGCATTCCTTTTTTGACAATAAGCTGACAACAAAATTGCAGCAGAGCACTGAAGAACTGACTCTTACTTCTTCAAGAGGACGAGGACTGCATTAGCTGTGCTGGCATCAAGGCCAGTTGTTGGCTCATCCAGAAAAAGGACTGGTGGCTCTGTGATGAGCTCCATCCCAATGTTGGTTCTCTTCCGTTCCCCTCCAGACACCCCCCGGATCAATTCAGTTCCCACCTACAAGCAGAAGAAATCAGGTATTTGCAACAAGACCTAGTCAACGCATGCTCTGGGGTTCAGGGCCCTCCACTCCCAGCAATGCTTTTAATTTTCAGAGTCCCATTAGTGAACTCTAGCATCAGTGGCAGATGATGGCTCTGACTGAGTGTGAGGAGCTGTGTAGCAGCAAGAGCCTGATTTTCAGAGGTACCAGGCATCTTATGACTTCAGGGAACAAGGATGACACTGACAAGGAAGCTTGCCTGCTGTTCCAGTAAGAGTCGGATAAGTAAAGTAAAAGTAAGGTAAGAGTAAAAATGCTGCTGGGAGGAACAAGCTCTGCACAGAATTTCTCCATCACAGCCCAGCTTTCAGCACTGTAAAACCAATTTCCCTGTCTTGTCCCACAAAGCCAGGAAGTGACTGAGCAGCTTTCCAAGGTACAGTGACTGGGTGACTTTTTCCCCTCTGAACTTATACAACATGCTGGACATGGGCCAAAATCTTCCATTTTTAGTAGCAAATACACATACCTCCTTCCAAGCTACCTCCTGAGCTAGAGACTGGTTTCTTGTGTGCAGCATGGTTTAGTCAGATTCCTGCTTAGCTTAGTGTAGCTGCACTATGTACACCATACGGCCCAGAGTCAAGTAGTTCAGTTTCCAGAGGCAGTATGATTTCTGAGAAAGGTATTCTCACTGCTTACCTTAGCATCAGCCACTTTGCTTAATCCCAGCTCGCTGATTATCTGGGTGACTCGCTCTTCCTTCTCTTTAACACCAATGGAGCTGGGGAGTCGCAGAGCAGCAGAGAAGTGCAGGTTCTCCCTCACTGTCATTGTGCCCATGACAACATCATCCTGAAAGCAGTACAAATGGACAGTTGGAAAGCCTCCTTCTCAGTCACCTGACTGGGCACCAGAATCCCCGTAGTGGCAATTGCTGGATAAGCTGTTTGTGGACCACAGTGGAAACTGGACTGAGGGACAACCCCTGCTTCAAAACTTACATGACATGAAATTCAAGGTCACTCAGTAGCAGTCAAAGGGGGAATGCAGCTCTGCAGGCTCCCAGCTTACACTAAGCACCACCTTAGCCTGCTTTCAGGCTCAGGAGTTCAAGCGCAGAGAGCACCATTTTGTACAGCACATGCATTTTCCTTACCAGCCAAAGGGAGGCAGAGCAGGTAGCTGGTTTTCTATAGAGTTAAACTTCTGCCAGTCCAGCTGAAGCCAACGGACATTGCTAGTGCTCAGTGTTCAAGGCAGAGACACTAAGGGAGTCCTAAGTCAGCTCTGTTGCCAGTTACAGGACATATCTTGCTGTGGTCCAGAGCACCTGCTGAGTTCAGCTCCCAACAAGATCTCCCCAGCTCCTCACTGGCAGCAGCTCCTCAGAGAAACAAGAATATTGCACTAAGATGCTCCTGATTTTTTTTCAATGTCCCAACTATATAACTCTGGGGCACAAGACCTTATTCTAAGGGCTATCCCTTTCAAAAAGCTTCATCAGTCATGTGCATTTTGAGTAAGAATCAACTCTATCCAGTTTACAAACATCTGGACAGCAACAACCATGAGCCAAACAGAGTTGATGTCAGGTCCATCTAGAGATCCATGCCTCTCCATCGCCCCTGCTTTGATATTCAAGCCAATTCATCCCACCATATGATGGGAGAAGAGCTGCAACACTGCTGAGAAACATGCCTGTTAATCAGGCACCTTTCATATCTGGTGCCCTCTTGGAAGAGACAGCACCTAAGATACAGTGCAGCAGATTCTTGCCTGCTTTGGAACTCCTGCCACATCAAATGTAGTTGATCAGCAGCACAAAGGATGGGCCAGCCAACCATGTTTGGCATTGGCGTTAACAGAGGAAGAATGAACATGCTGCTGTGATAGAAGTATGTGACAGATCACTCAGGGTGTAGCGTTACAATACATTGGACTCGCTGCCAAAGCTTCCTATTTATTCAAAAATTTCCTACCATCACTTCCCTCCATCTCTCACCCTAGCCTCCCATTCCCCATCCTCAGATCTATCAATACAACTGTTGGGTCACCACACTGGAAACCAAACTGTGAATTTAGGCTACCTTAATACCAAATGTAACAAACTGTGGCATGACACCCTCACTTGCAAGGCGTAAGTGGAGAGACCACCAGCAGTTTTATAGGGATAACACATGACTTTGCATGTCCATATGCTCAGATGCATAAAACTGACTCTATAAGTATGTATGTGTTTACGTATTTAGGCCTTAAGTGTTGTTTGTAGTCTTTGGGCCATCTTTATTGATCTAGGGAGTACTGCACAGGGGCGGGAGGGGAGAAAGACCGTTTAATGTCTCACCTAGTTGCCTATCATTTTAAGGTAAATTTTGGTCGCTTTGGACATTTGAGAGACAAATGTCTCAAACTGAGACCACTTGCAAGAAACTTCCTGGCCATTCATGAAACGCTTGAGGACTTGGGGATCTTTGACCTGCAGGATCACTCAGCATCAGTCTCATCATATAAAAAAAAACCCTGCCTATTTCACATCTGCCTGCAGGCAGAAGCTTGGATGGTTTCCAGATTTGGCTGCTCATATGGCTGCCAACAATCCCCTTCTCAGCTCCTCCAGGGCTTTGAGGGTCTATTATTGGTCCAGGCCTCCACCCACTTCCGCAGATTCAGCCAGCTTTTCCTGTCTCCAAGTGGAATGAAGCTCTGCCCCAGCTAGCCAGAATCAGAGGAAGAACAGCAGGGATCTATTTACTTCCTAGAATTATTGTCTGATAGCTTGAAGGTACTTCTGCCAGCTAGAACTGCTTCTGAGTTTTACAAGACATTTTGGGTTGTGGGGTTTTTTTCCTCACCTTTTTATTTTTTTTTTTAAACCCTTGCTAGTACTTCAGGGCAGAGCCCAAAGAACAAGTCACAGTAGCCCCATGGTTTGGGCATCTGCATGGCTTTAGGAAGACAAACACCTCCATGATTGACTTGGTTAGAGTAACAGTTTGATCCTCTTGTCTTCCGTATCCCAGAAAAATACAAAATACTGTAACATCTGAGTTAGCAAATTAGACCCTATAGGAATAATGGAAAACTACCTAACCTAGTAGTTCATGGTTTGCTCATCTTATGCAGTCTTTCCTTCCAAGGGCTCCCAGACCTCCACTGAAGGCAGTTACTCACCTGCACAACATATCCTGAGATGCACTTAAAATTTGGAGGTTGTGGGATGCCATCTATAAGCACTTCTCCAGACAGGCCTGCTGGGTCCTTTCTGGCAGCCAGCACATCTAGGAGACTTCAGACAAACACCAGGCATTAGGTTTTGCCATAACAGCTGCTTTTGCCTTTGACTGGGTAAGTATCACCAGTCAGGACTGCAGTTACAGCCTGCTCACAGCATGCTGCAAACTAAAGGGCACAGAAAGGAGCCTTCTTTACTCTGGGGCTTTAGCTCTTTGTACAGAAAGCCTGGTGGAGATACAGGCTTTTCCAGCACAAGGTGTGCCACAGCAGTACAGCAGTGTACAGACTCTCACAATTTGCAGCTGTCAACCCTCTACTGACATAAACTCAGTCTCCATATTAACAGCAAACCTCAAATGCACAGAGACAAAAGCACCCAGCTGAGTAGCTGCAGTATGCTCTCCAGCCAGGGGTGCACAGAATTAACTACTTTGATCTCAAGGAAATTAATCCAAATGGGTATTAACAAGACTAGAGTTAAGATTAATTCTGTAAAGTAGTTTTGTTTTAACATATCACTGGATTCTCCTCACTGCCAATGCAGAGGCCAGCCTGTCTGCTAGTTAAGTAAACACCACCCTGACTAAATGCTGCTCTTGAAAACATCCTGATTAGCCAGCAGTCTCCTTAGAGAGGAAGGCCAAAGGTCACCACAAAAACACACCTGTGTGAATCCTGGCCATATTTGCCTGTCTCTGACATTCTTAAAGGCAGAGAGTGATAAAGAGCTCTCTTACCATGATTATATGGGTGATAAAACAGGATCAGCACTGGCTGGAGGTAGTCTGCATGGTATTTCTCTGTGCTTTCAGCCAAAGAACCCAAGCACGTGTGCACCCCCACCACCAGGCCACAGCCAAGTTGGGGTGAGGATCCAGAGCATCCTACAGACTGGCATTAAACCATATTCCTGTCAGTTGTCAGACAGGAGTTTGGCCTAGCACCTTCAAGGAAGTCTTGCTGCAGTGACTTCACAAGGGATAGCATCTCTCCTGCCCTGAGGGAGCTTGCACCCCCTCCCCACCCCATTACAGGTCTAGGATAGAGCCTACACCTGAGCTCCAGTCACCCCAGTTCAGCCTGGTATCTTAACTCAGGCCACAACCAAGGTGACTGCAGTAATATGGACCACCAAGTGAAGCAGATGAGGGGTGTGATGCCACTGCAGGGCAAGAACTCCAGCAAAGCCAATAAAGGGACACGAGGTCAAACTGCATCACCAGGTTTCTCACAGGCATGCAAAGGTTTGAGCCTGCAGATCGCTCACATCTCCCCCAACCCTCAGAACCCCAAATCCACTTTGAACAGTTCACTGGACATTTGAAGGAGCAGAAGAAAGTACTCACGAAGATTTACCACTCCCTGTTGGCCCCAGGATAGCATTCAAGCCTGGCTTCATAATGCCACTGGAAGAAGGAAAGAGTTATTTCCAAATAGACGACTGTTCACATGCAGCTCATAGTAGAGGTAAGGTGTGAACAAAATGCTGTTGAAAGGAAAACTTAGAGATTATTAAAAACTTCTCCTTAAATCTGAAATCAATATGTATTTTTCCTTTCTTGTCCCAGACTGCCAGTCAGAACAGAACCAGAGCAGGACATAAAAAACAATCTACAAAAGACAGAAATTAAGTGCCCTCCCTGCTGAGCTGGGTCTTTAAAAGAAGAAACAGCTGCTCTCTGCTGCTCGTTTTCTCGGACTGCGGCTTAAACCATAATTAAGGGAACCCTCAGATCTTCTGGCAGAGGAGTTCACACAAGTTTGGTCCTAATTTGCTCAGATCAGTAACTGAAACTGTTCCAGCTGTATCCTGGCTATTTTGCCTAAAAGCAAATTAGAAGGTGCTCACATGAACTGCAGACTGGCAGGAAAGTAGTCATTTCTTTACCAGCACAGCTGGATCTGGAAAGTGACATTGAGGTCACCGATTCACAGCAGCAGATTAATTCCTACCCTCCGGTATTTTATTTAAGCAAGAACTTACTAAACATTATGAAGGATCTTCTTTTCCACAGTTTTCTGTTTACATAGGAATCCACTGGACTGCTTAATGGAGTACTGAATGTTATGGAAACTCACAACAGAGCCCCGAGGGGATCGGAGGGACTCTCGTGTTGGAAGAGAACGTTGGAAATTGCCCGCTCCTTCCTCTTCTCCAACAGAAATAATGCTGTGATCAAATGTGTCTGCCATCATGTCCTTGTTACACAGGTCAAGCTCCACTGCATGGAGTTTTTTGAGGTCACTGTCGTTTTGAGCAGTTCCCATCTGTTGAAACAGAACACAGAAACATGCAGAGGAGACAACATGTGAGCAAAGATTTCTGCAGGAAGTGTCTTTGAAAAGCAAGTTCATGCACACCACACCAATCCTTACACATGCCAAGTTTCCCAAAGGATCGACATCCACACTGGAAGACATCCAGTAGTCCCTGAAGTCATGGAAACCCACAGATTTAGAACAATACACATACCCATTAAGAATGAGACATACATGTTCTTGAAATGATGCTAGCTCAAAGAGCATTTAAATGAGGTAAAAATCATACCCATCTGTGATGGTCACCGTCTTGCTCAACACAGTGGGGACTACAAATGCAAGCTGCTACCACTTAAGCTAAAGAGATTCAAGCTCCCCTCCTTCAGGCTTAATATGCTTACTTTCCCCCACACCCTCACAAAGCCAGCAGAGAAAACCTATTAATGAATCTGTATGAGGAGCCACAGGAAGAAAAATGGTTGTGCTTATAAAAATGAAGGCCAGTCACATGCACCTTGTTTGCTGGCACAAGTTTGTTTCAGAGATACCAATGTGATTAAAATAACAATTACACAGGTTGCTCATCATGTTTCAGTCACATCAGTATCAAGATACTTCACAACTACAAATATGAAGAGAAATTTGGATTTGTCTGTGGGCACCATTTACCCTGAAGAACAGTAGGAGTTCCCCTTCTCACAGGGAGAGATCTGGGACAAGGAAAAACATGGAACAAATGGGTACATTAAGGAAAATTAAATATTGTATCTATTGGTAATCACAAAGCTCTAAAGCATCTGTTTCAAGCAGATAAGCTGCCTCTGTAGCTCAGGATGAGAGCACCTGAAAGGAAAGCCATGCACAGCAAAGGGAAGGAACTGTTTGATCTCCCTGTCCATGCATCACAGCCTACACAGTAGGAAATACATCAATATGAGTATAACCATTAATATTGAGTCACTTAGTCGCAGAGCAGCAGAGCTCTTTTGTCAAGGGGCTGCTTCCCTTTCTGTTGCTGTTACTGATGCAGATCAAGTTTGGATCCCTTCACTAACCAATAAAAGAAAAGTTTAAAGCTCTTGCCTGATGTTGCATGTGAAGAACTTGGAAACCCTGCACAGGTTAGTGAAGTCCCCAAGTTCTGCAGCCTGTGCAAGGCCTGGGCATAACTTGTACCCTGCCTTTTAGCCAGGTGCCCTTGCAGCCATAAACCTTCCTGACCCCTTTCCGGGGAACTGCAGCAAGGAAGAGAGGAATCACTACATGCCCCCTCCAGAAACAGAACATAACAGGTTAGACTAACACAACTTAGTCTAATCATTTACTTCACTTCCAGCTGTGTTTGTTGCAAAGCTAAAAATTTACTGTGATGTTGCAGAAAGCCAAGGTGGTGACCAGTTTAACTAAGGGAGCAAGGAGAGAGAACTGTCCACAAAGACATCCATTGCTGGTTACTTGAGTTTTGTGGGAAGGTAGATGTATCCCACCAATCACCCTTTTCCCACCATCTGCACTTCTTTCCTCCCAGGACTGAGAGGGTGATAACCGCTAGGACCAACAATATCCACCGCTGCAGAAGTAGCGGATTTCTCAGGGAGAGATGGTCATCCTTTTAAGAAACTGGAACTAGAAGAGCCAGATTTAAAGCAACAGGAGTTGCCCTTTCCTCTCTACCTCTTCCTATCACTTACAGCTCAAGAAGATGCAGTAGTTTTTTCCTGTATAAATAAAATCAAAGGGGCGGGGGGAGGGTTGTTTAGACCCACCCTGAACTTTAAGGCTGGTCGACCCCGGAAAAGCCTTGCTTATGCGAAACTAGAAAGGATATGCTGGTTACATCAGCAAGAGAAGGCTTATATGCTTGAAAGGTTGCACAACGGATCAGAAAAAAAAAGTCAGGATGACAGTGACACCAGGGGCAAAGACCTGGTTAGACTTGTGAACATTAGGCTCTCTTGCATATCTCACATCTGTTCTGGGTAGGTTCTGTAGTTAGTAAACCCCTTTTATACAAGTTTTTGCAAAGCTACTGATGAGCGCTGGCCAGCTAAACCACTGCTGCGGGTCCGCTCAAGGATGTCAGGCGGTTGAGAAAAGCTCAGCAGAGGCCACAGGCAGGCTCAGGCAGCAGCAGCCCCCGGCAAGCGGTGCCCCTCCAGCCTCCCGCC